ACCTTATCGACTCCCTTGCTCGACTTGGGGCGCAATTATCACCCCAAGATGGCACACCAAATCGAGTGTGCTGCCAATTTCGAATGGGCTGCGCAAAGTCAGTGGAGTCCTTAATGCCCTTATCAGTGTCACCCACACACTCTCGACCTCGGCCACATATCCTTTGCATATGCATGAGCCCCACAGGGCGACCCACGCTGCGTATGCGTAATGTGCGAATGCGTATGCGTAATGTGTCGCTCTGGTTTGTCGCCATTTTTGGCAAGTGGCCTGTCGCCAGTTGGCAACCTGAAGGGGGGCTCCTGGCCGTATGCCGGAAAAACGATTAGGGAAGGGTTTAAATAATCCACTTCCTCTCGATCAAATCGAGGCAGTTTCAGGGGCAGTTGAATGGAAAAATGTTCACAGCTTGTGCATAAGAAGGGGTATTATGACAATGTTAAAGAAAACGATTTTATTCTTGTATTATTATTATCATAATTGCTTTTATAAAATATATTACAGATTTACTTACCATTTATTAATTACTTACCATTTAATTTATAAATATATCCGCGGTAAAGAAAAACTCCTTGAAAATAGAAAAACAATAAAAGAAATACATGTTTTTGTATTTTCCTATCCACATATTTATTTTTAAATTTTTAAAGTGGTCCTTAATCATTTTAAATTTTTTATTGGATTTTATTTCTTTATGTTCTTGCCAAGGGTATTCAAATGTTTCCGTTTTTTGTTTCTTTTATGCCCCTTGAATTTTGCAAAGCTGTAACTGGGCTAAAAAAACTGTTGCTCCTACGTGCTCATATATAATTCCGAACTGCACCTAAGACAGGCAGACCCCTTAACCCCAGATATCCAGATATCAGAGGCCCCGTTGTCCAAGGCAGGGTAAAAACGAAACGAAACACAACCCAACACAGCACACAATACAAAAACGTAAGCAATAAAATGAATTTTTATGCCGCATTTTCGCAATGCAGGATAATACACACACAGATGTAACACATACAAGACAGGCCCGGCACCTCAACAAAAAATATGTGTATGTTACCTTTGGTGGGGCCCTTAACCCTACAAAGCACCCACCCCACAGGATGCAGGGGCATTCCTGGAAACCAAAAGCGAACCGAACACATTTACACATGTAAGTGCATAAAAAATGTTTATGAATTTCAGTTTATGGCGCGTAAAACACGCCAATAAATGTACGAAGGCATTAAAAATGCCACGCCCCCCTTTGTTTCGGGGGGCCCACTCGTTGGACTTTGCCGCACTAATAAACAATCAGAAATGGGCATAAAGTATGGGGAATCGGGCAGGAAAATGGCAAAACGGCAAACGACAGCGGGGAATTTCCCTCCTGTGTTTTTCCCTTTTCCATGTCATTTTTTTTCTGATTTTTTTTTTTTTTTTTGGTTTTCGCCAGAAGGTGTTAGTCGCCCCGCTGGCGCAGTTCTTGTGGTGGATACCACCACCCTTCACGCCCACCATGAATATTTATGCAAAATTCAGACACACACATACATACAGTTGGACTTCTGTTGCTCCTTTCCTGTCAGTCGACAAAGTCCTGGCTCCTTGGTGTTTCCTTATTGTTGGCTGCGTTATGCCAAGTGCGCTCTAATGCACTTTACGACACTTTATGGCAGTTTGTCCGGGGGCCAGAAATTATGGCAAATTGATGAGAATATACATATGTGGCTTGGCTCCGCGCTGCTGCGAAAGTTTCTCGCTTGTTTGCCATTTAAAAAGTACAATGTATCTATTTCTGTTCGATAGAATTTAGGAACAAATTTAGTGACAATTTTGGAATATTCGAAAGCAGGCTAAATTAATTGGTAAATATTTTAATAAAGTATTATAACTAATTATTATATTAAAAAGCATGCATGGGACACACGCCGATTCTTCTGTGTGTGACAATCTTTTTTGTCTTTTTCATGTGATTTTCTTTTAACTATGTGAGTCAATACACTGTAATAAGACAGTTCCGTCATGATGTAAAATCCTACGTTTCTTTTATTGAGGAAATTAGAGCCCCCAAATGAACATTACACCGATTGCCGGGGCTCAAATCCTTTCAGCAAATTTAGCTGAAATTGAGCCCTTTTCTTGCCCACAAAACGACACCCGAGCATTTGCGACAATTGCATACTTTTCCCTCGAATTTGGCCTAATGAAAGTCCCGGCCAATGTCCCGTTTTTGGTCGTGATCCCTGTTCGGCATTTTAGCGCCCTTTTGTCTCGACGCCTCCATGCAAATCGTGTGGGCGGGGCAGCCACCCCACTTTCCCCGCCTTTCAAGTGGCCTCTGTTTTCCTCCACATTTTTCCATTCCGTTCCATTCGTTTGTTGGATGGTTTGTTTTTTCTGTTTTTTCAGTTTCTTCTGGTTTTTTTTTGAGTACTTAACGCCACGAGGAATCGCCTAAGACAACTGAAGCGCAAAAAATGCGAAAAACATGCAGAGAATAAAGTGGAAAATCGGGACTAAAGAATGGCTAAATGGGCGATTGGGTGGCGGGGCGTGTAATCAAAGTGTTTGGATATCAAAGATTCGGAAAGAGCAAAGTTATGCATAAATTTTCGGACGCCGTCTCGACTGTCGATTCGAAGATGAAGCTGAAACAAGGACCCTTTGCGGAAATCAATACAGGAAACAAATTAGTTTCGCCTTAAAAGCAGCACAGTATCAAAATAAAATTTCAACAGTCGCCTGGTCCAAATAATACCGCAAAAACAAGTGAAGTGAACATACTCAAACCACATACACTGAGAAAAATTAAGTATATAAAGTATTCCATTTTTAAGATTATTTCTATATAAATAAACTATTCTATTTAATAGTCTCAAATTATTTTGATCTTAGGAAACCAATATTTGCAAAAATATATATTCCAAAATTAGTTGAAAAAATCTAAATTTAATAACAAAAATTTTTTAAATAAACCGAAGAAGAAGACAATTCCAGAACCTCTTTCGATAACCTCGATCGGTTGAATGTTTGAGATTTGGGTACTCTTCTTTTGCAAATATTTTGCCTGCACAAATAGGAAAGCCCAAGGACCCTAAGTGACATTGTTTGTTGTGGTGCCGCAGGACACGAACAGACACGAGAGCCTAATAATAGCCGCACATAAAATTTTATTAGCACGAGCGTAACAATTCAATTGGGTCATGTTTTATGGTGACACAGAGGCGGCGGCGAGGGGCGGCTTTTAGGGGGGGGGTCAGAGCGCGCAGGAAAAAAATGCCAACACATTTGGGTCACTCAGGGCAGTCGTAGGAGACCCCGAAAAAAAAACGAGGTGAAAGTGTGCAGAATGTTCGGCTTTCATGTTTTCCAAGATTTTACTTTCGTCATCACTTTTCGGCGGCAAGAGGAATATTTTCATCTTTTTTTAAATTATAAAAATGTAGAAATTAAATGGCAAAAATAGGTTTAAAAGAAGGGATTATAAATAAAAATAAATTTAAAAAAAGTACTTCTCTCTTTTTTCCACGGTGCACTTAGCCTAAAATTACACTGTGCAGCATTTTTAGTGCTTTTTAAATTTACCTCGATGGATGCTATATTTTTGGATTCGTTACGATTTCCCAAGTTAAACTGCGTTTTCCAAAAAGTTCCCCGACGCAAGGATTCTTAGCAAAAGGACCTCAAAGTTCGAAAAATGCTGAAATTGGCCAACTTTGCGGAGCTCTCAGAGGCAAATGGATGCATGGTTTGATTCGATGTTAAAGTTTTTTAAAAGATACGCCCTTTATCTTTTAAACCCCATACTTAAAAAATTTTTAAGATTTTGTTTAAGGCAGAAACAAATTCTAGAAAACATAGTCAAAAAACTTAAAAACATACAGCTGCGGTCAAAATAGTAGTAGTGTTGCCGCCCTGTGTTTTTAAAATTGGTTGTTGTTGTTTACTATTGGACTAATTGGATAAGAAAAAATTACAACATTAAACTTTTAAAAACACAAGGCGGCAACACTGCTACTATTTTGACCGCAGCTGTATGTTTTTCAGTTTTTTGACTATGTTTTTTGGAATTTATTTCTGCCTTAAAAAAAATCCTAAAATTATTTTATGTATGGGGTTTGAAAGAAAAAACTTTAACTTCGAACCAAGCCATGCATCCATTTGCCTCTGAGAGCTCCGCAAAGTTGGTCAATTTCAGCATTTTTCGAACTTTGAGGTCCTTGTGCTAAGAATCCTTGCGTCGGGGAGCTCTTTGGAAAACGCAGTTTAACTTGGGAATTCGTAACGAATCCAAAAATATAGCATTCATCGAGGTTAATTTTTGATGCTGCATAGTGTTATTATTTAATGTTTGTAAAATATAGGTACTTCATCAACAATGCTGGAATTTGTTTGGAGTTAGCGCAACAGACTTCGGCAAATTAATTAAATTTTCAAATTCCATATCAACACCCTAGTTTCCGTGCCGCGTCAGCATCCTTGATAATCCTTCACCGAAATTCCAAACAAATTGCAATATATTTGTCTGCAATTTGCCAACACTTGATGGGATTATCATTTATTTTGCTGCTGACATTTCGCCAGCGGCGAAAACTCAATTTGAGGAAAAACTCATTTGTTGGCGCGACGAAAGGAGCGCAAAATTGTTTGAACAAACTCGAGCAATTGTCTTACACTCGCTCCAATTGGATTTCCGTTATGTTGCTTCTGGTGCAGGCGAGGCCAAGAAAATAGCACAAAAAAATTAAAATAATGGAACTAAAAATAAAAATTGACAATTAAAAAATGATTAACTGTGCATTAAAATAAAATTAAAGTTATGGAGTGTAGGAAAAATCATATTTAGTTATAAATAATAAATAAATATTTTGGCGGATTGTAAAATACCAGTTGTTTTTGTATTTTTCACATATTTCTAAGGTTATTACTATTGTTATGCGCATGGCTGTGCTTATATTGCTTCTTGTTCATGTTCGGGATCCTGGACTTATCCTTGCCGTTCTCTTCTTCTTGACTATATTTTACAGTTACGTGTGAAGGACTCTCACTGCCAGCGGAGAAGTGAGAGGAGGCTAGAGAGAGAGGGAGACGGAGACAATAAGACTGAAAAGCTGGCAAACCTTACACAAAATGCGAGGAAGAAGAAGCACGGGCGGCGTACAACAACCACAGCAGCGGCCACACGAACAGCAACAGCAGCCAAATCAAAGGTTAATCCATGGCCCACGCTGCTCGCTGCTAATGTTGCTAATTGTTGGCCACGCAGTTTACGGTAAGTGCCACAACATACACAAGGACATGAATGCCGTGGGTGTGGAAAGGGGGAGGGAAGTCGAAGTGCGTGACTGCACTGGAAAAAATAATCACTTTATCTCGATATTGAAGACTAGAGATTTCTGAATTTCAACTTCAATTTTTGTTATAAATTTTAAAAGTTAATAAAATTGGGCTTTCTTCTAAGAATTTAACTCATTTATGACCATTTTGGCTTTAGACCTGACAAATGTACTTATGGGAACTCAGAGAGAACAGAAATGGATCTCCACAAATGTATTTTTTAATTTAATTATATTCTTTAATCATCAAACAATGATAAATTAATAACTACGTTCCAGAAAAGTTTGAATGACTAAAAAAAAAATTAAAAATTTGTTAAATAAATTTTAAAAATCTTAACTTATATAATTAAAAATCTTAAATAGTCATATAAATAAAGTAAATTAAAAAATCACCTTAAATATACATGATTTCGGGCTACAAAAAATGATATTTAAATATTTAATAAAAAAGACTCTAACTTTTCTGGCTGTGTAAGGCTGTAAGCATCTTCACACATGCGGAGAGTAACATTTATTGGATGGGACATGGCCATTGCCCCGTTCTCTGACCTCATTAGACGTTCATTTGTTTCCTTATTTATGCGGACACACTCACACTTCCACTTACACTTACACAGACGCAGACACTGAGATGGGAGATATATCGGATATATGTTGGATCATCATCTATATGGCCATATGGCATTTGCGGTCCTTTGTGTTACCAATTCCGCACACAAGTCGAATGCATACATTTTCGCTTTTGGCCATAAAAATTCGAGTCCTGAATGTACGAGCATGCATATGTATGTATATGTGAGTGTGCCCCAAATTGTAGGCTACACAAAGCCACGCACAAAGATGATATATGTATGTATTGGTATGTGTGTGCTTGTGTTTGTGCCTGGGTAGAATTCTGTGTTCGGCTGCCTGTAATTAATTGACTCGAACTCGCACATTTTTCGCATCGAGCAGCACACAAAAACAAGTCGCAAACTTTTCGCCCAGACAAGGTTTTTTTTCCAGTTTTTCCGCACATACATATATTTTGCAGTGTGTGCAGTCAAGGTCGCGTGAAAGGGACGACAGTTTCGCGGCATTTCCCTTACATTTTTGTGTGTGTTTTTTTTATTATTATTATGTTTGTCGCATTTTGTGGCAGCCGGCCAAGTTGGTCAACATGGCATAAATAGCCTAGAAAAAAGAAAACAACAAGAGAATCCTCGATAATACCATCCCATTTACATATATAGAGTTGGCTTGTACCTGCATGCCTATTCATCGAAATGCATAAGTATGTCCTTTTATGTCGAGTTGAGTTCGCTTAATTGGCCGATTGTTCGCCTGCTTAACTTTAAGTCCCACGGAAATCGATAAAGCCCTCAAAGGTTCTCGTCATGCCATCGATTTGTCAGGGACTTTGAGTGGTTTTGTGAAATTAAAAAAGATTGTATGCAAATAAATAAGGAAAATAATATTTAATTATTATATTTATTTTAAGTTTTAATAAAATATTGTAGTATTTGTACAAAAAGTAAATCAATATCAAATAAGGGGAAAAGATAAAAAAAATATATTAAACACGTTTTGACGAATTTACGTTTATTTTTTAAATTATTAAATGTAAATTGCAATTTTAATAATAAATTTAATAATAATTTAATAAATAATTTTAATAAATTCTGCGTACAATAAATCAATATCAAAATAAATTATATGAAGCTTCAAAAATATTAATATTTCTTACATAATTAATTACATATTTAATAAGCTTTTAAGGTTATTTTTTTAATTTGTATTGATTTATTTATTTATATTAATATTAAACAATTATATTAAATAATGTAGAATGAATTAAAATCAATAGCCAAGTCAATCTGCACAAAAACACACTCAATTGTCCTGTCATTATGGCGACGGTTTCTCTGGCCAATCGACACTAACCTCAGGACCCAGCCACGCCCCCCCTCCGCCTTCCGCCCCCGATATCCTTGTGTGGCACCGCAGATGCGTTTTCTCAACTAGAGTAATTGATTGACGCCATTGCTCGAGCATTTACCAGCTGTCCTGCGGCTCCAGGACTTTGAGAACGAGGATGGTGGAGGGGAATCCTTTGATACGGATTCATTTAATTGCCCGAGCTGGCTGGACGTCGGCGTCGTAGTTGCAGTAACTTTGAGCTGACAGCTTCCACCCACCTGTCCTGCGACAGGACATTATTCGGCTTTTAGTAACCGAAGCTGCAAAATGCCAGGGGTCGCCCTTTTTGTAACCCGAAATCGTTTAGTAACACAAAAACACAGGGCAAAAAGGTCCACAGCAGCAGAGCCACAGAAGCCACATATAATTTTGCCTAATTTCTTTTTTGGGATAATAATTTACGTAACCCCAGCAAGGGATTCAGATTTGCAGGGATCGAAGGGTGGATGTGGATGAGAGGCAGCTGTCGTCAGTCTATATCGTAATTGTAAATTAATGCATGCAGAAAATGTGACCCCCACAAGATGGCGGCGACCGGAAGTCAACTCTCGCACGCACACACACACTTATACACTTATACACACACAAGCGCTAACCATATTGCTGCCTTCAAGTTCAGTGATTCCAGGGTAGAATGCGGTCTATATGTAGCTTATTAAAGAAACCAAAATTGCTAATTTTTTAAAACTTCCACTTAGGTAAAAATATACAAAACTAATGTATTTGAACTGTTTATAAATTTAAAACGTTCGTTTGCAAGCATTTTTTTTAGTTTTTTACTTTTTGAAGATTAGTTTAATATTAAAATATTGACCTTCAAATATATTCTGAAATATAATATTTTATATATTTTTTTTAAATATTCAATAAAGAGAATCGACAAGTCCATTTTGAGTACACAAGCCTCTTCCAGTTTCTTACATAGCCGCCGCCTTTTCTTACATTTCGCTTATTTTATTTCGCTTCGCCAATAATTGAATAATTTTGACATGAAAAATGGCACAAAGGGTGCGGGGTATAGTCCCGAAATTTATCGGGGCGAGGAATTTACCACACGTGGCAATCAAGCGGAAATATTCCGCAATGGAATGCCAGCATTCAAATGTGGAAATAAAAAAAATAAAAACAAAAACCAGATTTAAATGTGAGCGAGCGAGAGACATATAAATAAAATGCCCAGCGAGTGGAGAATTTCGATTTGATTTTGGTAAATCGAGTAGTAGTGGCAGTTTCTAGGTGTCCGTGTGGCTGCAAAATGGATCCTGCTGCCAGTGGGGATTGCGTTTATTTATTTGAAATTAGAAACTGCCAACTGTTCCCAAAAGTGGCCATTAATTAAGGGCTATGGGCTGCCTGCTGGGGCGGCGGCTACTGGGGATTGCGTAATGACTGCAAAATGCTAACAAATAGCCAGTTGCCAGTTTTGAGTTGGCATCTTGGCAGGGGCGGCGAGTGTGGGAGGTGGATTTGCTGACTGAGTGGGACAAATGGTAGCTGGATTTGTAAATAATTGTCTCACCTTTTCCCCGGCACAAGAGACAATCAATTTGCGACTTGCTATCGAATAACTGGAAGCTGCTCTGTGTCATTTCCTAAATCAGCCGAAGATATATGGTCCCAGGGATAAGAAGGCAATGCCCTGACAATGAGAATAACTTGAGTTAAATGCAGTATTTATATACAAGTGCCTGTAATAAAATTACCCAGTGTCAAAATGTCTCTTTAAATGACTAAAATGAATAGCAAAGCAGCGGACAGAAATGACGGAATCATGCGTAATTAATATTTGAATTAATAGTTTGCAAAGAAAATATCTGTTGCATTTCAGTAATTACATTTAAGACCCTTTGGCTAGATTTAACGCATCCACATTTTGTTGGTTTCTGTTTGAATGCATTTTACGTTTTACGATACACAAATGAATTTGAATTGCTGTTTGGCTCTTAATAAATTATGATATTTCCAAACTTAAATAGCCAACAATTTAAATACAAATATTTTCATATTTTCTGTCGATGGTATATAAATGGAAATAAATGCGAAATAAATTAAAATAAATTTTAAAAGAATCAAAGAAAATTAAAACAAATAAAAAAATTTAAATAGATTAAAGTAACTTTAATTAGGTTAAAATAAATTTTAATTTATTTTACGTTTTAGATTACACAAATGAATATTTCAATTCCTGTATGTCTCTTAATAAATTATGATATTTCCAAAGTAAAATAGCCAACAATTTAAATAGAGTTTTCATATTTCCGGTCGCTAGTATATAAAAAATCGAAGTAAATTAAAACAAGTTAAAATAAATTTAAAAATATTTCATAAAAAAATTGATGGAAATAAATTTAAAAAAAAACTTAAAATAAATAAAAACAAACTAAAATAAGTTATAATTAAATTAAAAATCTATTGCATACTGTTTATTAATAAAAAATTATAAAATTGCTTGGCTACAACTTCTGTCTAAAATCTCACTTTCAAGTGCCTGTAAACTCTTTCAAACATTATTCCGTCCACTTTCTTGGCCAAATTTAAGGAGAGATCTGGCCAATGTTTGTTTAAAGCACTTTTCATGCTCCTGTCACGGCCCGTCGCACTTGGCCATTTGCTCCAAATGTTAGTTGACCCAATTGTGGATGCCCGGGGCTTGGGGATCGGGGTTCCCCGGAGGCGGAGGAAGAGGCTCTCGGCCATTTCCTGGGCGCAAAAACTTGGACCAGTTGAGGGAATGGAATTGGTTTTGACTTTGGCTTTGGCTTTCGCTTTATTCAACATTAGCTAATTTGTGTGCGCTTCCTTTTTTTTGCTCTTATTGCCTTTAATTTCTGCATCTTGCACTTGGCTTCTCCGCCGTTTCTGCTTGTTTTGGCTATTCAAGTTAAGTGCCATCCTGAATTGTCCTGGCTGCTGCTCCTGTTTCTGCCGTTCCTGCTGTCTTGACACTGATTTCAATTATAAATTGGTTTTTGCC